GGAAGGAAGGAAGGAAGGAAGGAAGGAAGGAAGGAAGGAAGGAAGGAAGGAAGGAAGGAAGGAAAATCCAACAAAGAAGACTGAAATAGTAATAAAAAGCCTTCCAGAAAAACAAAAGCCAGGTCTGGTGGAGTCTCAACAGAATTCCACCTGTTTTTTTTTAGATAATCTACAGCCAATCCTTCTTCAACTAATATAAAGAAAAGAAACAGAAGGAGCACTCCTCAACTCCTTCTGTAAAGCCAGTGTCACTCTAGTACCCTAACCAGGGACAGAAACAACAACACAAACAGAAAACTATAGGTCAATATATCCAATGAACATAGATTCTAAAATTCTCAATAAAATACTTTCAAACTAAATGCAAACATACATCAAAAAGGCTATCCATCGTGACCCAGTTGGCTTCATTCCAAAAATGAAGGGATGGTTCAACATGCACAAGTTAATACATGTAATAAACCACATAAATGAATTTAAAGACAAAAATCTCATCATCACTGTCTTAGTTAGGGTTACTATTGCTATGATGAAACACCATGATCAAAAGCAACTTGGGGAGGAAAGGATTTATTTGGTTTATGCTTCCACATGACTGTTCATCACTGAAGAAAGTCAGGACAGGAACTCAAGCAAGGTAAGAACCTAGAGGGAGGAGCTGATACAGAGACCATGAGGAGTGCTGCCTGCTGGCTTGCTCCTAATGGCTTATTCATCCTGCTTTATTATAGATCCCAGGACCACCAGCCCAGGTGTGTCCTCATCCAGAAGGGACTGAACCTTCCCTCTTTGATCACTAACTTAGAAAAAGCCCTATGTGCTTGAACCCCAAGGTTCACAGGTTACAGCATTTAGAATCCACGTGTGGAACCTTAGAAGTGTAGATGGCTTTTGGATTTTGGGTTGGTGTCAGCAGGGACATATGGAATTCTTCTAGAATATCGGTAACTGAAGGCATTTTGTACTGGTTCAGATCTCAGGTGTATAGGACTCCTTCAGGGGAATATTTCAGCTCCTCTAGAGTATAAAGTCCAAGACCTTGAACAAATTCACCTTCAACCTGGCTTATGTCCACGGCAGGGTTTATAATGAAAGATCCATCCATAACAATGTCAGTTCTATTGTTCTTGTTATTCAGATGGATTTAAAGCTTCAACAATATATATCTTCCTGTAAAATACATAGAAAATTAGGGGCAATTCTTAAGTTTTCATATTTACAAAATACCTTGTAATCTTCAATCACTCACACACACAATAAGCAATGACGTTTGTGGAGCTCCAGCCAAAGATGATGTTTAATTCAATAAAATAAACAGCACTTTCCACTGGAAAAAGAAAAAGAAAAGAAAAAGCCCTATGGGCTTGTCTACTTACAGCCCGATCTTCTAGGGGTATTTTCTCAATTGAGGTTCAGCCCTATGAGATGACTACAGCTTGTGTCAAGTTGACATAAAATTAGCCAGCACAATCATCTCAACTGATTAAGAAAAAGCCTTTGACAAAAATCCATTATGGCTTCATGATAAAAGTTCTAGAGTGATTGTGACTAGACAGTCTCTCTATCTCAACCTAATAAAAACCTATCTATAAGAAACCCACAGCCAATATCATCCTAAATGGATAAAAACTTGATAGAATTCCACTAAAATTAAAAATTAGGCAGGGCTGTCCAATAGCCCCACTATTCTTCAGTATTTTACTCAAAGCACAAGCTGGAACAATAAGACAAGAGAAGGAAATTAAAAGGATATAAGTAGGAAAAGAAGTCAAAACCTGATTTTCAGATGATATATTATCCTTAGAGGATACATCTAGTAGAAAACTTCTAGGAAGAATAAACACTTTGAGCAGTGTGGCAGGATACAGAATCAAGGTATAAAAATGAACACCTTTGCTAAACATCAGCAAACATACAGAGATCCTGTGAACACTCATTCACAATAGCCTGAAAGAAAATAAAATATCTAGTAATAAACCTAACCAATAAGTTGAAAGACAACAAAAATGAAAACTTGAAGTCTATGAAGAAAGAAATAGAGAAAAACACAAGAAAATGGAAAGATACATGTTGTAGGAATCCAAATTACAAAGATAATAATAAAGAGAACTGCTGAAGAAAAAATGAAGTTGGAAATAAAAGGTTCAATAAGTCAAATTTAAAAAAAAAAAAACACAGTGGAAACCCTCACTAACAGAACAGATCCTGCTGAAAATAGAATACTGGGGGGGGGTAGAAGACAAGATAAAGAAATTGGATCATATGGTAAAGACCAATAATAAATATACAAGAATGGAGGACTGGGAAGCTCATAGATGCCATTAAAAGACCAAACCTTTGAATAATTGCCACAGAGTAAGTACAATAATGTCCCCCACCAAAGCTTAGAAAATACTTTCAATAAAAATCAAAGAAGAAAGTTTCTTAAATCC